GAGAGAGAGAGAAAATGGGAAAGAGCCGTGGAAAGAAAAAGAATGTCTAGTTGAGAGAGAGACTAAGATAGGCCGGGGACTGCAGTTTAGAGCAGAGATTCGGAGAGCGCTCTGGGGGAAGGAGATAGGGTTTGGGTTAGGGTGAGTTTGTAGAGGGTCAGAAAATTGGTTATGGTTTTAGAAAAGGTTACTGAGGCCCAGCAGGTGGCATGGTGGTCAGGGTATTGGCGGATGTTACATTACGTGGGAAAAGTCAGGATGCTGAGTAATTTCCCTCCCCTTCTCTTTTCAGTCTTTTAAAAGTGTGCTTTGGTAGGCATACACCTTATTTATCTTTTTAACTTTATCTTTTACATTGACTTTTAAAAGTGAAGCTATGGGGCCCAGCAGGTGGCTCCCTTGCTTCTTTATACCTGGGAGCTGACCCAGTGAAACGGAGGTGGCAGGGAAGCTGGGAGCTTCCCCAGAGGCATGTCTGTGCGCCTTCTTGATACAAGTCAGAACTACTCATACTTTGTGGTCAAATTATCAAGAGTTTTTGAATTGGATTATAATGCCACCTTTTAATTATAGGTGAGATGCCTTTTCTTTTCAATACGTGAATTTACAGAGGTAGCATACCTTATTAAAGCAGAAACAAGCCATAATTGTGTGTGCTCATAAACCATCCCACCGGGGCCACCCTCAGGAAGAAAAACAAGGCCTGGTGTGACTGCATGGGGCGACTCTTTATTTAACAGTCCATCTAGAAGAAGATAAGGCAACAAGGCAGTATGTAATGTTGCAAGCATTTCCCCAAGGTCAAGCTGGACACACGCTTGTTTCCACAAGCACTCCTAAGCAATGCCCTCCCTAACTCCGTGCACAAACACCAGTGGTGAAGTTCACAAGGTTTTGAGGCAACTTCGGCCTGGTTTTGGCGTACTGTTGCAGTTGACCATGAGAAGGATCCCTTGTGTTGGTGAGACTAAATGCCCCAGGCTGAGTATGTTACCAGTCCGTACTGTAGAAACCTGTATCTTGTGTAATGCACCGGTGGAGGTACGCTTCCCCACCTAGACGCTTTCGATGCTGGGAAAAGATGACGTCATCATGCATCAAGTTTCTCAGTTTGCTCAAGGGAAATGGGAATCCCCGGGCTGCTGTTTGGTAGACGCCACAACTGTTGCATTAAATATTTCCAGCAAGGGCCTTGTGTCCTTTGAGACTTGACTTAATGTTTGCTCAGCTATAAAATCCTCCCTGCATTTGTTCCTGATTTAATATTGCTATAAACAGGGAAGTGTGTAAAAGTAAAAAGTGAATATACTATTTACAGATCTAAAGCTTTCTTTGAGCTTATCAGGGATTAAGCAACTCACTTGCATTTGATATAATGATATGCAAATCTTTTAAATGTGGACATTTTGCTATCTCAAATAGACACTGTTATTATTTTCAACTATTATCATCAGTTTAAGAAATGTTCCCATAATTTGAAGGTCTAGATAACAAAGTATTTCTCTGTCAGTTTAGTCCTTGGCTGGTTTTCTTCCATGAGAAGTCTTCAGGCAGATTAGTCATAACTTCAGAGTACTGAGAAACAGAGCCACTGGAAAGAAAAAAAAAAAGCAAGTCAACTCAGTACCTTTGTTCTTTTCTCTCTCTCTCTTTTTTTTTTTTTTTAGGTTTTTGCCATAAGGCCTGTGTACTTGCCAGAGGGAGGGAAAGTGAAAAATCACCCTCGCAAGGGGGGATGGCCATGCCACAATCCCTAATCTTCCATCCTCCTTAGGGATTTTGGGCATGCACAAACACATGCCCAGTGTGACTTTCAAGCCACCGGGTGTGGGACTCAAAACCATGGTTGGCCATGTGAGAGTCCAGTACCTTAACCACCATGCCACCTGCTGGCCCTTAGTAACCTTTCCTAAAAAAAATTCTTTTTTAAATTTGCTATAGGGTGCATGCACTAGAGAGAGAGAGAATGAGAAAGTGAGAAAGTACCCCTCAGGGAGATGGCTATGCCACAGTCCCTTCTCTTCCATTCTTCTCTCGGGATTTTGAGTACATATGCCCGACATGTTTTTCAAGCCACTGGGTCTGGGAATCAAACTGTGTAGTCATCATGGGGGAATCTAGCTGCCTTAACCACTCTGTCACTGACTGGCCTTTTAAATTAAAGGCTATCTTTTTTTTTTTTTTTTTTTTTTTTTGAAGAGGTTTTTTCTATAGGGGGTTTGGGTCTCCCGGGATAGGGCGTATGTGCTCACCAGAGAGAAAGAGACAGACAGAGAGACAGAAAGTGAGAAATCAACCCCCGGGGGAAAGGCCACGCCGCAATCCCTTCTCCTCCATTCTTCTCTTGGGATCTTGGGCACACACGCACACGTGCCTAGCATGAGTTTAAGCCACCGGGTCTAGGACTCGAACCGTGGTCGACTACATGGGAGTCCAGTGACATAGCCATTACGCTAACTGCTGGTCCCTAAATTAAAGGCTATCTTTAAAACACCTACACATTATTCTGAAAGACTGACTGTTAGATTAGAAAAGCTGACCAAGGGCTAATACCAGTGCACTAACATGTTTTTCTTCATTTCTGGAGACTAGCTTCTTACAGAAGGTCAGTAGTCTGGGATATTTGAATCATGTAGTTGTAAACTAGATGACAGGGTTGATTGAGAACATGAAAAGAGAAATACAGGCCACACACAAACGTGTTTTCACATCTCTGCCTCAGAGTACCACATCAGGAGTTAGTTTGGGGGGTGGATATCCCTGAAGCCGCGGTTTCAGCCTTCGGTCTTCTATTGATATATTGGAGTGATATGGGAGCTTTAAATCAGAATCTGACTGAATTGGTCTGAGATACAGACTAATTTGATTTAATTTGCCAGAGGGCACGCGTTTGATAGAGACGGAATGAGAGGGTTAAAGTGAGAAAACACTCCATGGGGGGGGTCATGCTGCAATCCCTTCTCCACCTTGTCCTCCTTTTGGGATTTTGGCCACACACACACACACACACGCCTGGCATGTTTTCAACCTGCCACACTGGGCTTTGAACTGCATGGTTGGCCATGTGGGATCCAGATGCCTTAGTAACTAAGCCACGGGCTTGACCCAACATTTCTTCTATACTTGAGAAAACTAAGCTTGGTTCAACACAGGCCCACAAGGGGATGGTGATGTGGCCAGAGTTGGGTGGGAATGGCAAAGTAATCAATCCTGTCGCTGTCTAACAGGAGCAAAGTGGTAAGGAGGACAAGTCTAAGGGAAGACCTCTTCTTAATTTTTGAACTCAGGAGGAAACCAGCAACCAAATAGCTGTTTTACTCTGCTATTATGCATTATAAGCTATCTTTTTTAAAGGAAAATGATTTAATATTATTATTATTATTCAATTTGACCAGAGAGAGAAAGGGAGAGAGGGAGGAAGAGAAAGAGAGGTCACCATATCTGGGACTTGAACCGCAGTGAGCCAAGTGAGAGTCTAGTACCTTAACCACCACAACACTTGCTGGCCCACATTAAAAGGTGTCCTGAGCCAAACAGAATCATGAGTGGACTTCAAAAAGTTCATGAAAAAGTGGAATTAAAGCACCAGTTTACTTTGGTACTTAAAAAAGTGAAATCCTTGTATAGTTTTTTCATAATATACACTTTCCATGAGCTTTTTGAAGACCCAGTGCATTCTTTTTAGTTTTATTTTAAAGGAAATAGAGAAAAGTAATGTGCTCAGGAAGTATTTTAAATAGATCTAAGAATGACAGATCTTCCCAAAACTCAACTTGAATTTGCTCTGAAGCGTTTCTCTATATAAGCACCTTCTCCCATACATGCTAATCAGCAGTTCATGTTTTCTGCGAGTGATCTCTCAGCCACCCCTTCCAAATTTAACCTTGTGCTATACTTAAGGCAAAGCTCAGGAAAAGAGTAGCCAGGTGTGTTTTTTTGGACTGGAGAATCAAGAGGTAGTTGGGGAACAATTGCATTGTGGGAGATCAGAAGGTGATGTAGTGGTTAAGGTGCTGGATTTCCACATGGTGGAGTCCCAGACCTGGTGGCTAGAAAATCATGCCAGGAATGTGTGCCCAAGATTCCAGAAGGAGGATGGAGGGAAAGGAATCGAGGTGTGGCCATTCCCGCTGGAGATGTTTTGCTTTCTGTCTCTCTGTGGCTCTACTGGCAAATGCACATGTCCTAGGGAAAAAAATTCTTTCCCAAAAAGTGTATTGTGGGCTCTTACCACCATTTACAGGCCTATCCCTTACAGACCAGAAGATTTTTAAAGTGAAGTTTTAAGAAGCAGGTCACCTAAATAACAGCCCTTCCCACCCTCTCCATTCCCTAGCCCTTGAGCGAGAGAGGTGGCTGGGAGGTGGTTGGTGTACACTGCTAACTTACAGAGATAAGGTCGAGCTCTATTGTGCCAGTATTCTCAGGATCCAGCTGCTTAAATATCTCTGTGGGGAAGAAAAGGTGGATGCCATAAGTGAGTGAGCTGAAACTTAGATCATTTTATACTCTAACCCCAACTAGGCAGCTTTTATTGAATGCCACAAGCTATTATTTCTTCCTTCCTTCCCCAAATTAATAAAGATTTTTCATTCTCCACTCCTGGACAGACCTGTCTCTGGTTCAGATGATTTCACCCATGGCAGAAGACAGGCTGCTTTAATAGCAAAAGAACCGAAATGGGGCTTTCCCTAAATACCCACTTACTGAATAGCGTTTCCAGTCGAACCAAACACCGAACGAAGTTATCGAAGTCGATGATGAGTTCGTCATCTGCAAACCGAGCAACGATGACTTGGTGCAGTTGACAGGGCAGCTTGAAACCTGAAATTACAGGAACAGACCAACTTGATTGCTGAGTATTAGATCATGCCATGTAGCTCAGCTCACAGGCTGTGGCACTGCTGTGGCAATATGAGTGACAATGATTATATCCTGGCTGCCGCTCTGAGACTGGTTTTATTTTGCAAAGCCAGTAGCGCCTGCTGTTTCTTTTGTTTCCAAACCATTCACCTTGGCCCTGCCTGTTTCCTTACTGACTAATACCTAAGACTTGCTGTTCTCTTTCCAGGGAGTGGTGTTAACAATGCTTCTCTTTTTCTGCTCATTTGTTTAGCTCTGAATCATCTCAGAGACCAGATTCTTCCTGGATATGTGTGGCACACATTGTTCTTGTAAACTAATATTTTCCCTTTTTCCACAGTCATTTTTAATGGGCCCATGGCTGCCTAGTGCTAAGACTGTATCTCCCAGGATCCTCTACAGCCATCTGAGGCTTTGTGGCCAAGTTCTGGCCAATAGGGTGTGTGAGCGGAAGTGACATGTGTGGCCTTAAGGCAGGAAGGCCTCCAGTGGATCTGCTGGCGCAGGTGGGTGTGCTGGCAGGTTGTCCCGGGCCCTGTGGATGATGTCTGGTGAGGCAACATGACTGGAGAGGGGGTAAGGAGGCGGGAAGCCTGGGGCCCCTGACAGGAGGAGGCACCCCCAGCCATGGACTACTTGAGCTTGGATTACTATGTTAGACAGCTGTTTCTTGTTCAAACCACTGTTATTTGGGGTCTCTGCTGCAGCACTGCATCCCAGCCAATACGGTGGACAGCCTCACATCACATCTGTTGCCACCGCAGTCTGCCTCTCTGCTGGTCTACCACGAGCTGTGCCCTTATTAGGGTCTTACCCAAAGGGTGGCGCTGAGACATCCATTTCTGCCTAATCAACTCTACACCAGAAAGCAGGTGCTGGGGAACACCTGTCGAGAACCAGCTTTGCCTGCTTTGCCCGGCTGGCCTGTCCAAGGGAAACAGATTCCAGAAACAGAGGGCAGTGTCCCCAGCTCGCTTGTTCCAATTTGTTTTTAAAAGAGGAATGGAAAGCATGTGTTTGTATCAAGCCAGCACTGACCTGACATTTACTAAGCTTTGCTTACTGTACGCTACAGAGTAAAAAGTGTTCACACAGCCTATGAAGAGATAAAGCAGAGAACACAGTTATGAAGCTTACCTGCTTCCTCTAAGGCTCTCCGCATCTCATAGGAATTCATGGTACCAGACCTGTCAACGTCGATTTCCCGGTAAATTTTCTGGAATATGCAAAATAGTTCTAAGAACCATGACTCAAAGCAAAACAGGTGGCCAGTTAGCTCTGTGGTATGTGCCATGAGGAGATCAAAATTTTCCAGTTCTGTGCCCCCAGTTTAGCTTTGGAAAAGTCACCCATAATTTCACCTTAAATAGCTGATAGTATTTTGCCTCTGGGAGTTGGTTTGTACTGAGTTGGAAGAAAAGTCATGATGCATTTTTACATAGAAAAATACATCATGATTTTCTCAGTGACCCAATAAATGGGCCCATCAAGTCAGTAAGCCAGCTACGAGGGGCCCATGGTATTGTCTTAAATAATTTTTGTATTTGAGTTGTTGAAAATCCAAACTACAAGGCGGCCACACAGCTTTGTCAGGAAACCTTGGAGGGTGGCTATCAGGGGACCCCATTCTGGCTTTCCAACTTCGATACCAGGTGAAGTCGGGACTGGGCCACTGAACTTGCCCAGTCCTTGTCTGTTTGCATCTGCCCAGCCCAGTCTTTACAGTCTGAGCTCCACTGTGGATAAAACCCCGTACCCCTTGGAGATGTTTTCCATCCTCTGGTGAGGTGCTTCACCCTAAAGTGTAAGCACTGCAGGTTCCCCAACTCTAGTCACCTACCCCTCCCACAAGCCCCTCCTGGGCTCTTACTTGGTATTTTTGAATCTTTGTCCAGAGAACGTAGAACTCCTTCAGTCCCAGCTTGCCACTGCCATCCGACTGCCTTCGGTCAAGGAAAGCCCCTTAGGTCTGGGTTCGCTTGGGCACAGCATCACCGGGGTTGTCCTCTCAACTAGCTCTTCTGATAGCCCCAGCACATTCACAAGGAGGTTTTGCAGAAAGATCCTTTTCCTGCTTTCCCATTGGCCAAACCTCCTCCACCTAAAGGGCCCAGCAGGTGGCGTGGTGGTTGGGGTGCTGGCCTCCCATGTGGCTGACCATGGTTTGAGTCCGGACCTGGCAGCTTGCTGTCTCATTTTCTCTCTCTTTCTCTCTGTCTGTCTCTCTCTGGTGAATGTGTGTATCTTATAGCAAATGAAAGAAAACATATGATAATAAAATTCTTTTTCCTTAAAGAATTATTTTATTTAACTTTATTTATTTATATTGACCAGAGAGGGCCCCAAAATTAATTTTCAGAAAAACTGGGACCAGCAAGTGGCATAGTGGTTAAGGGCTCTGACTCCCACATGGCTGACTGTAGTTCAAGTCCCGGACCTGGTGTCTTGCTTTCTCACTCATACACTCACACTCTCTCCCTCTCTGGTCAAATTAAATAAATAAATAAATAAAAATAATTCTTTAAAAAAATAAAGGGGTGGAAGGAAGGCTATAGAGACCTGCTGCTCCTTCTGACTCTGGCTACTGTTTTGATCTGGGGGTGCTGGGGAGGCCCCAGATCCTGCTCAAAATGAGTGATCAGATGACATGCAGAGGGCTCAGGGCTCTTGCTGTTTTCTGGAGATTTTTCAGAATATTTCTAAGAGGCCTTTTTGAAGGGGACTGGTGAGTGGAGGCTGTGCGTTCACTAGATAAAGCTTCATAGTAGCCTAGACTACTGCCCTCACTTCCCATAAATTCAGAAACAAGGGGGAACGGATGATTAGTTTGCCTTGGGGACAGGTGGGTGCCCCCAGAAGCGGCTAGAGCAAGGGTGAAAGAGAATGCTTGGGGGAGGGCCCCTTGTCAACACATCAGGAAGTCTTGGCATGGGACCAGCAGATGGCATAATGGTTATGCTACTGGATTCCCATGCAGTCAACTGTGGTTCAAGTCCCAGACCCAGAGGCTTAAAACTCAAGCCAGGTGCATATGTGTGCATGCCCAACATCCTGAGAGGAGAATGGAGAAGGGCTTGCAGCATGGTCATCCCCCCGGGAGGTGATTTCTCGCTTTTTTCTCTCTCTCCAGCAAGTGCATGCACCCTATTGCAAAAATCTCTCTCTTAAAAAAAAAGAAAAAAGACATCTTGACAGAGGAGACAGTCACATTGAAAATATGGTTTAGGGAAAGTTGTCCTAGGAGAAGTAGTGGGAGTACTGAGGAGAACTGTTTGCAAGGTCAACAGTTTTACGAGTTTTGGACTTCACTTTTATTGTGTTACTGTACTGGCCTGCACTCAGTTTCTCTGCCATGGGCCTTATTGCCATACCCCTGTACCCCATAAAGGCACCCCCAGCCTTACTATAACTTTTACAATAATCCTGAAAGAATGC